GTTTTTCTAAGTAAACTTTACATATTAAGATGCCTAGGTGCTCTCAAAGGAATTTAAAAAACAATATATATGAATGGAACAAATAGTGGCCATTTGGGAATGTGAATCAAATTTTAGAAACACATAGGCTGGTAAATCTGAGAGTATTCTGGGACTCTTGTTTTGTCCTTTGTGCAAATGGCCTGCCATTGGTATCCAAGGGCATTTCTGTGCAGCCTTGTTTGGGGGGCATAATTACAACCAATGCTTCAAGTTGAAAATCTTTCTATAAATGTTCGATTACAGTTGGAACTTGATGTCACCTGTAGAGAGAGTTTGATGAATATGCGTGTATTAATGTCAACCTCAGGATATAATGTTCCATTTCTAAAAATAGGACCTAAGAAAGTTAAATAATTAAGCTTATAGTGAACAGCACAGATACTCCTCTTCCTTTGTCTTCTACTGGTGACCAATTCAGGTGATACTAAATTGCCTTGAAAAATAACTTTTTGCAGGTTGCTGCCTCTCTCCCAATGGAGTCTTAAAATGAATTAGGGGTTCCTTCCAAAGAATGTTTAGAAAGAAATGTCTTTCTCAGCCTGCATTAAACCCATTATATTTCGCCTTCTCTGTGATTCTCTTTCCTTTTCTGTATTTGAAAATGCTGTCACCTTTCTGGAGAAATGCCTTATTTTTCACCTCCCAAACCTTAATGTTAAATTTTCTTTAAATCTCTGGTCAAGTCAGCCATCAATATGTACTATATGAGCACTTCATTGTCTGATATTATCATAGATACCTAAAAGACAAAAAGTATTAGACAGTTTTGACCCTCAAAAAGTTCTGTGAAGAAAAGAATCCCATTTATACTTGTCTGAACTAGTGTTTTGCTAATAAAAATTGATTTATCTTGACATGAAACTGAGATGTAAGAATACATCAGTGCCAAATAAGATGTTGGGTTTTATGATGAGATGTATTAGATATTGTATTATGCACTGGAAATTCTGTTGATGAGATACTATCTGTATTTGCATATTTCTTATTTTTCTATTACAAAAGCAATGCATACTCTTTTGAGAACATTTTAAAGTTAAATAGGAATATAAAATTTGGAAAAATATTCTAATTTCATGTTATAATAATAATCATTGATAATGGTTGCTAACATTTTGATATATTCCTCACAATTTTTATGCATAGCTTAAAATATTGTAGTCACTCTATATACAGAATATTGTAGTCAGTCTACAAATAATTATTTTGTAAAATAATTGCTTTTACAATTAACATGAAGTATAAATATTTTTCATAGTGTTGCCTCTTTACTCACTAATTTTTTAATCCAGTTTGTTCTAATTTTTTGCTTGTTGTTGTTTTTTAGTTGACCTTTTTTTGAGAGAGAGAAAAACACTGAATTGTTATTCCACTTATTATGCATTCATTGGTTTCTTATATGTGCCCTGACTGGGAATCGAACCCACAAGTTAGGTGCCTCAGGATAAGGCTCTAACCAACTGAGCTACTGGTCCAGGACTGGTCTTTGTTGTTTTTTTTAACAATGTACTATGTGCCGGACTCTAAGGTCCAGGCCTAGTCTGTGTCCTAAAGGAGATTATAGGCATGGCTGGTAGAGAGACAAGGAAGTAAGCAATTTCAGTCCAGAAAGATATTATAAGAAGACTAAGTATATTTCAGCATTTACTTTGTAAGTTGACTCTTGAATGTCACAAAATACATGTGACTGTCCACCATGTTCTGATGTTTTCTCATACCTAGTACTATTGGTGGTCCATCAGCTACTCTTACAAAACGACTTTTATTAAATCATGTCACATGTGAATACCTCACTTTGGGATTACCTTCTTTCTTACCTTACTTTTTGTCTTCTCTTCTGCTGGGACAACTATTTGCTGAGAGATATTTTGAACCGGTCAGATCATTCTGGATTCATGCAGACTCCTCAGATGGAAGGCCCTTGGAGCCTTAAGCAAGCCAGTGGCCAGGGCTTCATGTCACTGATGGTCAGTAGCATTTCCTTGGTCAGCAGGTCAGCTTTCAGCCTTTTTAAAAAAAACATTTTATTTATTTATTTATTTAGAGAGAGGGGAAGGGAAGGAGAAAGAGTGGGAGAAAAACATCAATGTGCGGTTGCCTCTCATGTGTCCCTTACTGGGGACCTGGCCTGCAACCCAGGCATGTGCCCTGCCTGGGAATCAAACCTCAATCCTTTGGTTCCCAGGCCCGTGCTCAATCCACTGAGCTACACCAGCCAGGGCAGCTTTCAGCCTTTTATCAACTATTTCTAGGTAGGGTATTTGGTGCTCTATAAACACGAAATTGCTATAACTTACCTTTATTGGTGTGTCCCGTCACGAATGAAGATGGGGTGATTGTGTGAATATCAGAGATTCTAAGAACTCCCAATTTTTTGTGTCCCTAGTATGTGACATTCACTGTAAATAAAATCGTTTGTGCATTTTCTCAGTTGATCCCTATGAAAACCTGAATTTGTTAGAGATTTACCCTAGTTTGTAAGAGAGGAGACTGGGACTCCAAAAGCTTAAGAAATTTACATAACACCATCAACCCACTCAGTGGCAGTGGCTTGTTTTGCCTGATTCTATGAATATGGGATTAGTGTTTTTAATTAATTTTAGAATTCTTATCATAATTGTCTCTGATTAATTTTTTTAAAGATTTTATTTATCTATCCTTAGAGGGGAAGGGAAGGAGAGAGGAAGAGAAATATCAATGTATGGTTACCTCTCGTGTGTCCCCCGCTGGGAACTGGCCTGCAACCCAGGCATGTGCCCTGACTGGGAATCGAACCATGGTTGTTTGGTTCACAGGCCCACTAAGCTACACCATCCACTAAGCTACACCATCCAGGGCTGTCTCTGGTTAATTTTACATTTTCTTTCTCTCTCTGAATTCCAGTTAACATGTGTTAGGACTTCTCACTCTGTATTTGTGTCCCTTACCCTCTGGTTCATGGCTCTGCCTTTCTTCCTTATAACGTATTCTGGTTCATTTCTTCTAAACTAGTTTCTAGTTCACTACTTCTCTTTTTTTCCCATTTGTGGACAGCTGTGTCCAATTTTTAAAAAATGAGCTGTTGTATGCATTTCCCTTCTAGAAGTCATTTTTGCTTCTTTTTCAGATTGGCTATAATTAATTTACCCTTACCTATAGAGTATTCCCATCTTAGTATCTATTTAAACAGATTAAGTTGCCTGTTTTATAATATTTGATCATTTCAGTCTCAGGTTTTGTGGGAGTCTGTTTCTATCATCTATTTTTTATATTTTGTTCTTTCTCAGTGTGCCTTGGGTGCATGGTACCTTTCATTGTGCTAATATTTGTGCTGGGGAGACTCTTTGAGGAACGATTAGCCCAAACCTACCTCTGGCAGAAATGCTCTGGCAGCCCAAGTCAGAGCCCCCTTGCAGCAGGTCCAGCCCTTGTGCTTCCCTGGCTGCACAGTGTTCTTAGCCCACCACCGCCACCCACCACTTCTCTCCCAGCACAGTCCACCAATGACCTTTTGTTTGTCTCTTTTGCTTCAGTTTTGCATGCTGCCTTCAGAGCCAGCTGCGTGTCTGTACCTGCAATGCACCAGCACTGCGGGCATCGTGGGAATGCCAGTTCTGGTTCACTGTTCCTCTGGTGGTGCAGGTTTGGGAGATGCTTTCTGACTGTGAATCAGCATCTTCTCTATGGCTTCTTGGAGCGAGTCACCCAAAAAGGGCACACATTAGAGCCCCCTTCGGCCAAATAGACAGGTTGACACCCTCAGGGCAGTCAGCCCTTCCTTTCAGCAAGCCGACGTGCCATTTACCAATGTACCATTTAGATTTCATTCCTCAGGCAATAATGCACTATGTTTTCAGCTCTTCTGTATCTTAATATTCATGAAAAAATATGTAATTATCTAACACATTAGTTGTTTTCCTCACTGTAGAAGAGAAACTGTCTTCGCTAACGCCAGAGTTGGAACTCATAACTGACCTGCTCTGGGTGTCACTGACTAACCTATTATTTTTCTTTCATGCTGCACTCCACCCACTGTAATTGTTCCATATGTTTTCCTGATAAACCCGCATGTTCTTATAAGGGTCAATTCAAAACTAAAATCTACAAGAAGTCGGCATGAATAATGCTTTCTCCAGCAAACCCAGTTAAAACGTAATGTCAAACTCTTTACAAGTCTACAGAAACAGGGCTTCACACTTGAAAATTGAAGACTGTAATGTGTTCTAACCTTTCAGGACCTTGCATTCCTTTTAAATCACAAGATGCGAGAATTTATTAGAACTTGATGTGCAAGTGATGGCGTGCTTAATATGTTATATGAGGATGGTATCCTCTAATGCTCCCTGGACCAACATAAAAACAAAAAGTTGCATCTCATTGGAGCTGGTGAAACACACAAAAATTTTAATAAATAAGAATTATGGTCCAATAAAATTCATCATTATGTGAGGAATTGGGATAGCACTAAATGTCTTTGGAAACTCATATTATTCTTTTGCCTTTTCTGTTTCTATTGCATTCCACCATTGTAATGAATTCTTTAGATATTTCTTCGGGGGATTTTAAAATCTAAACTGCCCCCCAATCCCCTTTTCTCTGAAACTGCTCCAGGATTAAACTTTAAGATTATTTTTCCTTTTCACAATATTCCACCCCCACGTTCTCGTGGTTTTCATACTCTGCAGAAATGTACCAAGGCTTTTCTGGTTCCGATCTTCCATTTTCCTCTGGGCGTTTGGTATCAAGTGCTGCCCCAGTCCTGTCTGTAGCCCCCTAGCAATTGCATTTCCATGCTCACCAGTACTATTATTTCCAGCTGCTGGGATCTGTGTCCCTGACTAAAGGTGTTCTCTGGCCCTGTGAGCCTACTGCTTCCTGAACCAGGCTGCAGATGCCAAGGGTTTTCTACCACCTAGAGTTAGCACTAAGCCAACGATGGGTGGGTACTGGTGGGTAAGTGCTTCCTCTCTCTTACTCTGCAGGAAGCACAACTGAGGCTGGTGGTGCGCCCTGGCTCCTGGATTTCACCAGTGGGATTCAGCTTCTCTTGGCCACAGTGGGAACTTGCTTGGTAAGAGACTCCTTTTATGATTTCTTTCCCCTCTTTCTCGCTTTTCCATGTCTCTCCTGAAGTCTCCTGGGATTCTCCAAGTAAACCCTTGGAATAGGGTCAGCCTCTTGGAAAACCCAAAGAAAGTCCTTTCCCTTGCTCCTCCCTTACACTGTACAAGTTGGGGGAAGGCCCTGATTAACTGGGTTGATGCTGACTTTGTCTTTAGCTTTCCCGAGTCATTAGACAGTTCACGCATATTATACACGTGTTTTATAAGAAAACCTAACAAAAAGTAAGTTGACTAGATGTTTGTCTACATTATTTAAATTTTTCTATCAGAGCAGGAGTGGTGACCAATAATAACACTGTGGAACTCGTTAAAAATGCATATTTCATTTGTTTGACTACCTCCCAACACCCCTATTAGATCGGAGCTGTCATTATCAGCATTTTAAATGAAGAAACAGAGGGGACAAATGACTCAATACCTCTTCTGAGTGTAAAGTCCATAAGTGTTGGAGATGGGCTCGTAACAAACGGACCCCAGCTGGACCCTGCCAGCCCAAGCGCAACGCTCCAGGCGGGTGAAGTGCAGCCTCATTACTAGGCAGGGTTGAAGGTAAAGCAAGCATGCTTTGTGAGTGTCTATAAATATTGTTTAAATCTACACCAAACACAAGTGAGTCTGAGGACACACCTCGGTTTTCATAGGCAGTCTGGGTGTGGAGTAATCGTATTGCTATGAGTCAGACCCTTCTCCTGTGCACTTACAAAGGCATGAACACTGGGAAATTGGAGTTGGAATAGGATTCACAGGCCCAGCTTTCCCCAGTCTCTTTCTTGGGACAAATCTTTGGTTTTGGAAATATTCCCTGCTAGCTGTTCATTTGATTTGACCTGTTGGAACAGCCAGGGTTATTTAATCATCTAAAAAAGGTATATATAACCCTTTTTCTTTTTTAAGATGGTAATGCACCTCAGGCATTTATGGCTGCCCCCAGTTCAAGAGCATCAGTAATATGATTTTGTATAGTCATCTTTTGGGATGTATGGATGTTGAAGTCCTATTTAGTAATGGCATGTAAACTCAAGATCCTATACTTTAAAAGCAAACATACACATTCACCAGTGTTAAGTTTGAGATGCTTCCTGCAGAGTCCTGAGAAATTCAAGACAATTTTTCTCAATGACCTTCATAAATCCATTCTCGCAGACTTCATCATCCTGGTGGCAAGGTTGTTTTTAAAGCTAAATCCCTGTTCTCTTATCTGGTGTTAAAGATTTTTGAATGGAAAGTTCTAGGCTGTCCAATGGATGATTTTGTAAAGAGTGTGTGTGTGTGTGTGTGAAGGTGAGATAAATTAAACATGGAACCCCCTCTGGTCTCCATGGGAGATCATCTAATTTATTTTCCATGGGCTTCTCTAACACCACCGGCAGCAACAACACAGTCGCCCTCATTTGAATCCCCTTGGCTGGCATTTAATCTACATCCATTACTTGATCCAAAATCGATGCTCATGTCTCCAGTCACCTGTTCTGAGTTGCTATTCATTAAGTTTTAACAGGTGAAATCTAACTTGTTCTCATTACAGATGGATGAGTGCAGGCTTCCATTGCCATTCAATTTTTTTCCCCTTTCCCTCATAGAGAGCCTTCTTGGCTTATTTAAAAAGAAAATGGGCCCAGTGACACGTAAGCTTCTCTTCTTTGGCATGCTTAATGCCTGGCATGTAAATGTGGCCCAGAGAGAAGCAAAGACAAGCTTACAAACAGACGTTTTCACAGGTAAACCATTGCTTTTTCATCTTCAGGAGATAATGAAGCAATGGCACCTTCTCTTTATCAGCATGAGAGGGATGTCATCTGTCACCCCTAGGGGCTTGCCATGCTTATAATGAATGCCAGTGGCAATGTCACTGTGACACTTTTGATGTCGTAAAGCCTTAGATCTCTTTGAGGTGGGGATCTTAGACTGAGGGACCCCCCCTGGAAGCAGTGTCTTTATAGATCTGTCCCATCACTGTGGGTACAGAGAGGTCTTTTTGTGTCTCTCCAATCCAACCTCAGCCTGGGCAACTCCGCCAGCTTTCAAGTCAGTGTCCGTTTTAGGCTTTTCCAAAAGCACTTAAAAAGGGAGTATTTTAAAATAGATTTTTTTTTGTTTCTGCAGAAGTATTTTTTTTAAAAAATGGTCAGGGAGGACTATAAACAAATGATAAAACAATGATAAAGTGAAGCATCTCTACTCTCACCCCAGAGGAAATTACCCCTCACTGCATGTATTCCTCTAGGCTGAGAGCTCAGTAGACGTTTGTGTCTTTACAAAATGCTCATTTGGTGGATACTATTTTTAATCTTTCCCAATTAACATCATATGGTTTGTGCCTTCCCACAGGAACACATACTCTTTTACAAGCTCACTGTTTGGTAGTTGAGCAGGAGCCCCCATCATGGGCAAATTGTAATTTATTTAACCAAGTCTATGATTGCACAGTCAGACTTATTTTAATTTTTATCTATTTAAAAGAATGCTGTGGTGAATATCCTCACATATATATAGGCTAATTATTGTGGAGATTTATTGTGTTTTTACAGTTTATTAAGTTCAAGTATAACTTCAGCCCAGAAAAGCAAGTGTGCCTTGCACAGCTCAAGGGATTTCTACCAAGTGAACACAGCTGTGTAATTGGTGCCTGGCAGTCCAATCCCAGGGACCCGCGTGTGCCCTCATCCAATCACTGATCACCCACCAAGGGTGAGACAAGTCTAGCTGCTGACATCACACACCGGCTGTGCGTGCTTTGGAAGCTTTCAAAAGGAGTTATACTTGGCAGTCTCTTTGATGTCTGGGACCTTCCTCTCAACAGTATGCCTGTTATTCAGGGATCAATAGATATTTTCTTTAAAGGTACACACAGAAAATATTTTAGGCTTTGCAGGACACATACAGACCCCACGGCATATACTTTGTGTGTGTGTGTGTGTGTGTGTTTTACAATCCTTAAAAATATAAAAACTGCCCTCACTCCAAAATTGGCCTATAATGTACAGCGTCTGGCCTCTGCTGTGTAGTATTAAATTCTATGACTATATCACATTTTATTTAGCCATTTACTTTGGATGGACATTTGTTTGTATTTTTTGCTTTTTAAAGAATTGTGCAAACATGAGCATTCTTGTACATGTCTTTGATGAGTATGTTTATTCAGGTCTGTGGGGAAAAACGTGAGAAGAGGATTTCTAGTTATAAGTTATATGTGTTCTACTTAAATAGATTCTGCCAAGTGTTTTGTTTTCCAAAGTAATTTTACCATGTCACAGTCTAACATGCAGGGCCTGATAGTTTCAATGCATTTCCTTCTAAATTTTAACCAATACGCTATATGCACAGTGGCATTACATGCGGTTTTAACATTTATTTCATAATAATGTATGAAGATGAACCTCTTTTCTTATATCAACTGTCCATTTTTATTTCTTTTGTTATGACTGTGCAAGAATTTTGACAATTATTTTTTGTTTTTATTTTATTAATTTGTAAGTCTTATACATTGTGGGATATATATATATTTTTTTTTTCTTAACTCTTTTCTTCCAGTCTGTGGCTTGTCTTCTTATTAATGGTATCTTCAGATGAACATAATTAAAAAAATTATGTAGTCTTTTTCCCATAATTTTATTGGTAATTATCACTTTTTGTATCTTTGAAATCTTTGACTGTTTCAATGTCATTAAGACATTTGCCCCCACCCCAAACTCTATAATTTTTTTAGCATTTACATTCATCTCTGATATATTTGGACTTGTTTTTTGCATGCACTACAAGATAGGAATCAAGATAGATTTTCCCCCTATATGGGTAGCCAGTGGCCCAGCACTATTTAGTGAAAAGACTGTTTTCTCCTGCACATCTGTGTCACCTTGGATGTAATTCAGGTAATCACACTTACCTGAGTCACTTGCTACATTCTCTATTCCATTTGTTTGTTTGGGATTATCTTATGGATCTTAAAAAACTTTAAAACCCATTAAAGGAATAAGTACTTCCAATGTTATGTTGTTCTTCTCAAAGATGGATGGTTAGTAGGTTTCTTTATCTTATAGCCTGGCCTTGTAAAAATGCTCATATACAGGAGACTCTGACAAGATTCAAAGAATTTTAAAGTTTTGTTTCTATTCTTAATCAGTAGGTATAAAAACAGGTGCTCTTGGGATACTGAGAATGATAGAAAAGATAAATATCAAAGTGGGGGATGCTTGTTTGGGAAGAGTGTTGAGTTGTTTTTTTCTAGCTGTGTTGCGCTCTCCTTAGATGACGTACGTCCTTTGTTCATGCAGTCACTGTTGTATTGCCCCAATTACCTGATTATAATTTGTCACTATTGGTTTTTTCCTTGTGGATTTGTTCATTGTTTTATGTTTCACTACTGTGACCACAGACTCCCTGAGAGCAGAAAGCCTTTATACCTTACTCAGTAGTATTTTCTGCAATGCTTAAAACCTAATCTTTCTTCTAGTAAGTGTTCAGGAGACGTTTATTGAATGAGTGGACCTGAGACCATCAAAGAGTATTTTCATCCCAAATAGCAAAATTAAATAACTGAAACCAATCACTCTTGTGCTGTATCTTGTAGGCAGACATCTTGTTGAAACAGAACAGCTTTAGAAGGCAGTAAAAACTTCTAGAAAATTAAAAAAGAAGTTGAGACAGGTGAGAACGTGGACACCAGTGAGAACTCATTACGTGATTAAATTACTTTTATCACAATATATTTATAAAGTGTAAGAAGATTAAACATTCTCATTTGCTGAAAGAAAACCCTTCTTTCATGACATCAAAGTTTAATGAATAGTTACACTCTGTTCCTCTCTGTGCATTCATGTGAATTTGCTTCTTAATTATGACATAACCCAGTGACTCTCAAAAAGAACAGGAACCACGGTCAAGGAGACTTTGTGCAGGGAAATAGATTTAAAGGTAGGGAAGAAGAATCAGGTGGAAGGTACAGAGTGTA